TGTTTTTCTTTTTTTCTGGCTGGTCTTGGACATTTAAATATTCACTAACGACAGAAAGTGTTTTTTTTGCATTTTGGATTTTTACCGGCATTGTAATTCTTTGATCCGGGGCCGCCAGCCGCCTTATTTTTATTCAAACTTTTACCACTTATATGATTCTTCCCAGAGTTTTTCTCCCCCAGAATCCACCTATGTACTTCTGTATCCATCTGAAACTCTACCTCTTCGTCGAACTCAACTACATGGATGCACTCCACCGTGGTGCTGCCATTGCATGGCGTCATCCACCCATCACACTCTTTCACCATAGTTGTCATCATCATCATCATCATGATTGATAGTGATAACATGGTTGTAGTGAAGCAGATAGGGCTTCGTCGTCCATTGATGATCACCATCTTCGTTTTCTTGTGACGAGAATGAGGGTTTGGATGGTGTTTCAGTTCTTGATCGCTGCCTTATAATGAAGTCCGTAATGGAATTGCTTTGTTGGATAACAAGAACCTTTTGCTTTATAAAAGATTGCTGCCCATTCTTTACTTTATACAGGATAAGAAGAACCTGTACTGTGACCTCTTTTTCTTTTCCTTGAATTCCTCTTTTAATAAAGCAAGCTACCGGCGCTTTTTCATAAGTAAATCATTTTTGTGTCACCGACGGTTTGAAGTCCATGTGTTGCACCTAGAGTTTATATAATTACTATACATGTGTAATAGGTTATTTTTTAATTAACAAACTAATATAAACTAATACAAAGACAAATGGATCATTTTTTTTAGTTTTACTATTAGTATATTTTGTTTTAAATTATCATATTTTAGCTATTTCTATAATTTTACAATTACATAAAGATTATTTTTGAAATTCTATAAAAATTAAAAACACATATAGCACTTATGGAATATTTTCATTTTGCCTCTGGACCATTATGTAAGTTTTTGGGACAAGGGGTGAACATTTGGACCAAACCTAAAAGGACAGGACCGGACAAGAATACTTTAATTTGGACATAACCGGTTTGACATAAATTAGTGGACCTTGGACATAACCAGTTGAGACACTGGTCCGGATCTGGTTTTTCCGATTCTTGTACTTGATAGACCGGTACATAGCTTAGGTACATATAATACAACTTGTTGAAACCCTACTAAAAGTTAGTTTATCTATTACGACCGTAGGGGTGAACGGGACCAGACCCACTCTTGAATCTTGTTAGGGGTGAACAAAGTTTATCTACTAAAACTTGTTGACATAAAGTTAGTTTATCATGGATCACTAACTACTTTTATAACAACCAAATAATCAAAATTACATTTATGCCCTTACTACAGTAAGGAAGACGATTCTACCCTTACAGTTATAACTCTTGAAACTAACAACAACACCAACCGAAACGAATTTATTTATAAATTTATCAAGCGAAGCAGATTATACAAAACTTCAATTTCAACTATTTGTTTACATATTGCATTCTCTAAATGAAGGTATTAGGCTACATTCTCCCAATTCAGAGACTCCTCTCAAATCAAAAGTGGTCTCCCACCCCACATAAAAACTATTTTATACTTATAAT